AAGGCTAAAAATATAATAATGAAACTCGTGACTCTCTCTCCAGAGTCCAACACAGCTTGGCCCCAACTGGCCAATGAGTCAAAACAATTCCCATGAAACCAATGAAACAACCATCTGTTGGTAAACAATGTCCAAGCACATTCCAAAGCAGCAAAACACAGGAGAAACAAATGAGATTATACTGTTTTCCTTTTTCTCTGAGGCTTCTCAGCTTCCCAGGAGAAAAATCCTGGGCGAAGGGATTTTTCAGAAAATATGACTGTAACACCCAGCAGCTCCATTTTCCAGTACCAAAGGTCTGATTTCCTATTTCCCACTGTGGGCTGCTGATGGATTCAGGCTCCTCTCTGTACTCCTGCTGTGTCCCCAGTGCCTTTGGGCCAGAGGAGTTTCACAGTGGCCCTGCAGCTGGGAGTGGTATGACACTGACCCTGACCAGCTCCAGCACCCTGAGTTCTATTGGCATTGGGAGCGATGGCAAAGCACAGAAATCCTTTCACACTGTGGCCTTGAACCCTTGAAATAACAGGGTTTGGTTTCTCCTGAAGGAAAATCTTAGTGAATCCTGTCAAAATGATCATTGGATTCCTGTGTTCCACAGCAGTTTTCTTGAACTGTCCCTTCACTGACTCCGTTACAACTCAGAGCCCATTGACAGAGTTCTGCCACCCCACAGGGTGGGCCCTCCAAGGGAATCCCATTCCTCTCAGCATTAGTTGAGAACATTTCCAACAATTAATTACAATGAGTATTTTGGCTGCTTTGATCTTTACATTTTCTAAGAATTTTATGACCAATCCCTGGGTGAAACTTAACTGGCCTTTCTGGTCATCTTGGAGCCAACTGCTGCCTTTCTTAAGTGTCTTAAGCATTTTTCTGCACTGCAATGTATAGATTGGTGCTCTCTAGTATTTCTCTCATCATTTTTTGGGAACTATTACTTGTCCAGAAGGGGTGACTGCCCATGCACCAGGGTGAAGTCTAGCTTATGATGCTTCACTTAACTGACAATCCTTTGCACCATATTCTAGCCTAACAGATGCTACACTGATCTCTTGCTGTGGAACCAAAATGTGGATGCCTTTTTCTGCAGCCTCTTTAGTTGCCCTGTCAGCCAAGTCATTTCCCTATTTTGGCCCTATTTTACTTGTCTGGTGTGTTCTACAGTGCAGAATTGCAACTTCAGCTGGCTTTTGTACCGCTTCCAGCAGGTGTAATATTTGTGTGCTGTGTTTGATTGATGAACCTCGTGCTGATAACAAACCTCTCTCTCCAGACTGTCCCATGGGCAAGCACTACACCAAAAGCATAGTTAGAATCCATCCAGATGATCAATTTCTTACTTTCTCAGTTCCCATGCTCAGTTGAGAGCAACCAGTTTGGTCTTCTGCGCTGGAACACCTGATGTTAGAGCCTTGGATCTAACTCCTTTGTTCAGCCTAGTCACTGCAAACCCAGAAGTGTTTTCCCTTGTGTACAAAGCTACTTCTCTCCATGTATAGCTCCCAGTCTGGGTTCTCCATCGGGCTCTCCTTCAAGTCCGGCTGGCTGGAATCAACTCCTTTGGCTGTTTGTAGGCAATCATGTTCTGGAGTACTTTGGAGGCCAACAGAAACACAGCTGGATTAACAACAAAGGTGGTTCTGAGGGTCCATTAGTTCCACTTGGTACCTGAGCAATTGGCTGGTGTCTAGATTTGGAAAGACAGGAGTGTGCTAAGGAAGGCAGGAGCCTCCCCTGAAATGGAAAACTGTAAACCCCCTCCCTCCAAATTCTTATAAAATTGAAACTAAGGTGCTTTCAGGTAAAGATATGGGAGCAGGAATAATAGTTCTTTATTAGGGAAGAAAATAAAAAGATAAAATAAACAATGCAGTAAAACAAAACAACACTGACAGACTCAGAGCCCAGCCTGACACTCTGTGGGTCAGGGTGTTGGTAGCAGTCCAATTGGAATGGTGGCTGCAGTCCTGGAGTGTCAGGTGTGGTTCTGTTGGAGCAGTGATCCTGTAGAAGGGTGGAGTCTTCCTCTGAAGATCCAGTGGAAGAGGCAGCTGTTACCTTTGGGAATCCAGGAGAAATGCTGTTCTGGTGTCCCAAGATCTCAGGTTATATCCAGTTAGGAATGCTTGGCTCCTCCCTCTGAGCAGAGCATCTCCCAATGGGATGATGTAATTCATTAGTGACACTCAATGGCTCATTAACAGCAAATGTCTCCCTGAAGGGAGGATTGGTTTGTGGATGAGATAAAGAAAAACTGCCCAATTAACAGAAGATACCTGCCACACCTTTAACAGATGGCAAATAGAATACATCTTGCCTTGCAGTCTGGGACAGCTGGGGACAGCCAGTGGCCTCCCTTTTGTTCCCAGCCTGTGGGTACCAACTGTGGTACACAGACTGTCAGGCTTTGTCCCAGAGCCAATTTGGGAGCTTCCTGAATTGACAGCACTGTAGCTGTGACTGCTCACAAACAGCTGAGCCATCCTTGGCACAGGTGAATAATTCAAAAGACCTTGTGGGATCTGGCAAGCCTAAAGTTGGAGCCCTCATCAGTGCTTTCTTGTTTGAATGAAGCAGCATTCCCAAAACTTCATCTCTGCATTCAATTTTCACAGTAAGTTTCCTACTAATAAAGGTTTTGGAGAGTTAGGCAAGTACAAAAATTGATGGGTTATGCATAATTTTCCCAGTTTGAATTTGTTGAAGGAATGGGAGGAATGTGTCTTTACAAACTGTGAGTCTGCCTCTAGATAAAAGCAGATACTGGCAGGTGAAAGAAGCAACAGGAGGAACCACACATTTCAGAGGAATGCTACTAATTGACACAGACTGCTGATTATCCAAGACCGTGTTAAATCCCTGGTCTTAGAAAAGAATAACAGAGGTACAAAGAAAAAGAGGGGTGCATATTAGGAGGGGATATGTATTGGCTGGTTTGGGAAGTCTGTACCTCTCAGGTACCTCAGCCAGTGAGGAAAGACAGAGGGTGATGTGGATGGGAAAACAGTATTGAAAAGGAGGCTGTGTCCTCAAAAATTTGGAGAGACCCCAGGGTAAACGTGTCATGGCCTCTCCCTTTATTCGAATAAAGTTGCAGGACCCTTTTGTCTCCTTTTTGGACATAAACCTCTGGCACTGTGAAGTTTGCATTGCACAGCTGGCTTGAAAAAGGGGCGTATTTCACAAGTCCCAGTGGCACTGACAGTTGGGATGGAATCATCACTTAACTTCCCTTGCAGGGTATTTCATACAAAATAGCCAGCTCCTGTGCCTACCAAAACTCCCAGTTTTGTCTTTCCCAGTGTGGCTGTTACCACAGGCTCTGCTGGGGATGAAACCTCTGGTCCCCTTCACAAGTACCCAGCTGTTGCCATGAGGGGGTTTGGAGAAGTCCTGGGTTTTAAGTGAGGACACTTCTGCTTCCAATGTCCATCTTTTTTACAATATGTGCATTAATTTGTTCCCCATCTTTCTAATGAAGGTCAAGGAACTGAACTCCTTCCCCTGCCACGAGACCCCCTCCCCCCTTCCTCCCTGGGCACAGCAGTCCTCTGCTGATTCCTTTTTCTTCAGCTGGAATTATTTTCTATTTAGTCGCTTCCAACTGGTTTTCCTTGGATTTGTATGTACTGCCCATGCAATGTCAAGCAGTTTACCCATATCAAAAGCAGCTGTTCCTGGATTTCCTGAAGTTTTGTTCAAATACCACAAAGGACTATGCTATGCAAATAATAGCCAGACGACTTTTACTCTCCTCCTGAACTTTGTTTTACCTTTATTGCTTTCTAATCTGTGCCTGCAGCCAGCCTTCTTCGTCCTCTATGCACTGGGCTTTGCAATTGCATTTAAACCTTCTTTCTCTTGATAATCTAAATGAGTAGAGCAGATGTGTCTCATGCTACACATACAACATCAACATTTAATAATTTTCTCTTTATTTTCCTTCTCCAAAGCCTAAACGAAAGGATCTGAAGGTGCTAAATTAATACAATCTTTTTGCTATTCAGGGTGATTTCTCAAAATGAGAAACATTTCAGTATACATGACTTAATTTCATTTTGTTCTCAGTGCAAGAATAACATCAGTTGGAGCAGAATGTTATTGTCCCACCACCCATTGCTCGCCGTCATCTTCACCAGCCCGTTCCATCATTCCATCTTTCCAGAGGCTGGTCCATCACAGGGGATGTCATAAATCCACTCAGTGCCTCCTTCTTGGCCAGGTGTCTGTAAGGTTGTTTTGGAAATGAGTCCCACACTCTGATTAAATTCTTTCATGGGGCACTGTGTGCCAATAACACTCATTTTCCGAGCCCAGGACAGTGTCCCAGGCAGAGACATGGGACACAGGCTCTGTCTGCAGTCATCCAGCCGTTGTTCTCACCACCACAGGCACACAGCACTTGCCCTGCTGGGTTTGGGGTATAGTCAGTCTGCCAGGCCTCCCCATACTTGTATTCCAGCCCTCCCTAAACAGGGTTTTGATTTGGGACATCAAAAACTCTTTCATTTGATATTTATGAGCCAAAATCCTCCCTAAATTAGTGTTTCTCAGCTCCCTAAATTGGTGTTTCAGACACCAAAATATCCTTAAATGCATGTCTCTGAGCCCAAAATCTCTCTAAATTGCTGTTTCTGAGCTCAAAATATCCCTAAATTGAGTTCTTTGAGACTTGGAGCTCCCTCTCTTTTTCTTTTTTTTCTTTTTTTTTTTTTTTTCCCTTTAGCACCCCCCGAGACAAAAGCTTCACAAAATCAGTGTTAATTAGGGATTTCTACGCCATGAAGTTCCCAAATCCAGTGTCCAGAGCCCTGACGTCCCTGACTGCAGCCCTGTGCCCTGTCTGCCATCAGCCCCCGGGATCGCTCCCGGTGCCCTCCCGGCGCATTCCCGGTGCCCCGGGAGGCTCCCGGAGCAGGGAGGGGCCGCTGGCTGCGCCCATTCCCCCCCAGCCGAGCATTTCCACTTTCAGTTTTCAGGATTTACGAGAAATCAGCGTCAAAGCGAGAAAGGAGCTGCGGAGGGGAGGGAGGAGCCCGCGGGGGCGGGCACGGGGGCGGGCAGGGTGCGATATACCCGGGTGAGCGGAGCCCCCGGCGTGGAGCTGCTTCTGCCCAGTCCTGTCCCAGGTAAGCGCCAGCCCCTCTCCTGTTTCCCCGCGGTTTGCTCCTTCTGCTCCCGAAATTGATGTTTCTCTGCCCAAAAGCTCCCGAAATCGCTGGTTTGGAGCACCAAAGCTCCCTAAATGGGGACTCCAGAGCCCAAAATCGGCTTAAACTGGGTTCTTTTTGGAGCCCAAAAGCTCTCTAAATCGTTCTTGCTGATCTGAAAATATCCCCAAATCACTCTCCCTGATTCCCAAAGCTCCCGACAGGATTTTTTCTCAGCCTTGAACTCCCCAAATCAGGGTTTTGTAGGTCTGCGTGTCCCTAAATTGGTGTTTAAGAGCCCCAGTGCTCCCTAAATCAGTATTTCTGAACCCAAATGCTGTTTCAGGTCCCAAAAAGTCCCCAGGTGGCTTTTCTGAGCCCCAGTGCTCCTGAAACTTCTGTATTCTCAGGTGTGAAGTTCCCCAAATGCCTGGTTCTGAGGCCAGAAGCACCTTGAAATGGTATTGCTGAGCCCCAAAGTATCCTAAATTGCTGCTTTTTAGCCGCAAGTCTCTGGGCACTGATTTTTCTGAGCCCCAAAGCTCATTAAATTGGTGTTTCTGGGACCTGAAGCTCCCCAAGTTGCTTTTCCTGATGCACAAAGCTTCCCAAGATCCCTTTTTGAGTACTGCAGTTCCTTAAACGTGCTTCTGAGCCCAAGAGCTCCCTAAATTGGAATTTTGAGCTGAAAAGCTGCCTAGGGGGGACTTTCTGAGGTCAAAAGTTCCCCCAGTCAGTGGTTTTAAGCCAAATGCTCCCTAAATTGGTGTTTCTCAACCCCAATGTTGCCTAAAGTTTGGGCTTGTTCAGAGCCCAAAATCTCTCTAAATCATTGTTTGGGACTCCAGAGCTCCCAAACTTGCAGTTTCTGAGCCCAAATGCTCCTGAATGAGAGTTTCTGAACCCCAGAGAGCCCAAAATTGCTTGATCTCAGAAGCTGCCTACATAATTTTTTTCGGGTCCAAACCCATCTCTAGATGGCTTGGAAGGCTGTTCCTGAGTTCTGGTGGAATGCAGATGGAGGGAGAGGCTCTGCCAGGGGAGTGTCAGGGAGGATGAGGATGGGAGGTGTGAGGAGCAGCTGGCACACCTGGAGATCCTCAACAGGATGGGCAGAGGTTGACTTGTGTGAGTGAGCAGTGGAGGGATCAGAGAGGGGGGGCACTGCCTTGGCAGCTCAGAAACTCCCTGATCATCAGGGAGAGTTGGCAGAAGAGCTCTGGGGCAGCCTGGAGGCGTCTCCAGGCAGTGAGCAGGTTCCCGTGGGAATGGCAGCTGCCCTGGCACCCATGGCCAGGCAGAGCAAAGGGCTCCGGCAGCCTGGGGGAGCTGGGAGCGATGGCCCAGCAGAGCTGCCCTGTGGGGGAACAGGGGGATGCTCACGGGCACCCAGTCCTGCCCCACAGGGAAGGGCTGGTCAGGGACATGCTCATCAGGGCCAGCCTGGGCTGTCACAGCCAGGAAATAGTGGGGTCCAGGCACCAAGGACTGAGGCCAGCACCAGAGCACAGGGCTGGGGCTCCAGAGACTTTGATGGGCTGAGCCAGGTGGTGGCAGGGCCAGCAGCAGCTGAGGAGGGTTCCCACCCCCACGGGCTGCTCCCTCCCCCCCAGCACCTCCTTTCTCGGCTTGACGCTGATTTCCCGTAAATGCCTCTCAGGAAATCTGATCGGCTTCACAGGGCAGCCTTTTCCAAGGGCAGGAATGGTCCCTCCAAGAGCCAGGAGTAAAGCACTCCTCTCCTGAGGCTCTCGGCTGAACTGACCGAGCTGCAGGGTGGAAAGGCAGCACAGGGAGGTGGAGCCAGCAGCAAAGCAAGCCAACAGCTCCCGGGGCTGTGTGAGCAGGAACACAGCCAGGGGAAGGGCTGAACCCCTGCCCAGCACATTCACACCACACCTGCCCAGCGACACTGGGGCTGTGGCACTCAGGCCCTGGTGGGTCACTGCCATGGTTTGGCACTGGCGCAATGCTAGTGCTTCTATGAAAATATCTTCTTCTTAGTGGCTGCTGTGAGATGGGACCAGAAATACAGCAAAGCAGGCTCCAGATTAGGAATAAAGGAAAAAACTTTATTAACTTAGCATATGTGAAAAGGAACACATACAGAACTCAGAATGAAAACCTTCCAAAACATTCCTCGTCCTCCCCCTAATTTCCACCACAGCACAATGAGATAAAACCTTAGATTCTCAATCCAGTTACCATCCCTCAGATAATCAATTCTCAGTTCATCAAGGGGAGAGGAGTCTTCCTTGTACCATAGGCTGCCCCAGGAAACACAGTTGAAACCTCTTGTCTTGTTTCCATGTCACGCTTGGCACCGCCCAGAGAACATTTGCCTTCGTGGCTTCTTCCTTTCCACATCCAGTGCTCTCACCACTGCACATGGACCAGAGCTGCTTCTAGGGTTCCCCTTTTAAGGATGCTTTGCCCAGTTCCAAAAAAGCAACAGTCTCTTACTTTCGGGACACCAGTCCCCCTCAAATTCACGCCCTGGGGCCGAGGGATCGTGAGAACAGAGATCTTCTTCACTGAAGACAGAGGGCACCACCACACCCTCCTCAGCCGTCTCTGTTCACGCACTCCTTCACATAACATCACTGCACTCTCTTGGCTCAAAGCCATTGCCTCCCCCTAAATGCAGTCTTTGTGTTACATGAAATTGGTTGTCTATGGCTATGCAAGAAAAGTCCAGCCAAAGGCCACTCCATCATCTCCTCCCACCTAGGATTCTTTATCTTCTTCTGACATCCTTCTCTTGCTCAGACCTTCACCACACTTGCCCATTTCCTTCTATGTCATGTCTGTCTCTCTTCTCATTCAAATCAAGGAAGGTTAATGTTCCGAAAAGCCTTCATTGTCTAAGAAAAGGGTTAAAATCTCAGGCTTTGCTTGCTCAGGACTCTTATGGCGGCCGGGCACCTTCTCCCTGCACCCCCCCTTCTCCTTCTTGGCCGTGCTGCCAGCACATGATATCAAATTCAAGGCGGCACAGGCTCTCTATCTCTCTCTCTCTCTCTCTCTCTCTCTCTATCTCTCTCCCTCTCCCCCAGGAAAGGGGGGTGCTGCCTGACGTCCTGCAGGGGCTCCGGCCTGCCTCAGCTTAGGCCGCATGGCTTCCCCTCCTTTCCCCAGCCCGCAGCTGGGCAGGGGAGGCCTGACCTCTTTCACAGACCGAACCAAAAGAGAGTTCCTCTGGGAGTTCTCTGCTTTTAACCCCCTGTGTTCTCAGAGGCGTATCCATGTCTCCAACATCCACACCAGGTGCCAATATTCAAATGTGAGCACTAATTGGTTTGACCACAACCTCCCAAAAAACTCACTTCCTTGTTAACCTAAAACAGTCACTGAGGTGGCAATCCTCCAGCTGTGCTTCAAGTGCCAGTGGGATTTCCTTAAGAATATCAGTGTCTGCACCAACAAAGCCACAACGAAAGCGTGGCCCTGCCCGAACAGGAGTGTCTGCAGCAGAGCAATCTGCACAGTCGGCAGCCGCCCCTCTGGGCAAGGCGCGTGGAATCGCTGTTGGCAATCCGCAGCAGTGACACCGCTCCTCACACGGCTTCCCAGGCAGTGCCCGTCCCTGGGCTGGGCACTGCTGAGCGCCTCAAGCGCTGTGTCCAGTTCTGCCAGAGGGGACTGAGTGGGAAAAGCTCCCTGGGCCATGCTGGGGCCTTCACTGGGCTATGCTGAGGTCTGAAGGAGCTCTGCTGCCCTCCAGAGTCCCCAGGGCTTTCAGTGTCTTTGTCTCATCAAGGCCCAGCTGTGCTGCAGAGGGTGAGGGACCAGAAAGTTAATATTTCACAGAATTCCCACTGAAAGTCCATTGTCCCTTCCCGCTCACAGTCTACAGACACTAATCCAGCTCCTAATTCATTCCTACAAAGAGAAAAAATGGTCAATTCAGGCCTTATTTATTTCATGGGTTTTGTGTCTGATAGCAAAAATTGTTGCCATGACTCTTGCTACACTTTAAATGGGAGAAAAGTAAAAAGTAAGTAGCATATTGATTAGGCACAGCCTGGATGCCATGAATACATTATGGCCAATTGTTTGTTTCTTTGATCTTGGCTGATCAGAAAAATTTTTAGTCTGAGTATATAATGAAAAATTATTTCATGGAGTGAGTAGAACTTATTCTTTTAATTTTTATATTTTATATTATTAGCTCACCTTAGCACCCCAGGAAAAGCATAATGAGATTTCACCACCACTCATACAATCCTCCTGGATTTAACTCAAATACTGGTATTAATGTTGTATTACACTCAATGCATAATTCAAAATGTCTAATTTATTTGGCATCTGTTGGCAGACCAGACTCTGTTGGTCTCTGGGCAACATAGCCATCACTGACAATGCAAAAGAGAGAGTTTCTTCTTTTTTTGTTTGTTTGGGGGGGTTTTTTTGTTTTGTTTTTTTTTGGGTTTTTTTGGTTTTTTTTTTATTTTGTTTTTTGTTTATTTTTTTGGGGTTTTTTTGGGTTTGTTTTTTTTTAGGGGTTTTTTTTTGTTGTTTTTTTTTGCCCAATTTTTCTGTCTCCTCTCTCCCCTGCCCCCACTCCTTCCTTTTCCTTTTCCTTCTCCTGCCCTCTCCTGTCTTTCCCCCTGCCTTTTCTTTTTCCCCCTCAAAGCTTCAGCTTTGGCTCAGGAGTGCTGATCTGGCCCTGCATAAAATAATTTTGCTGTCTAAACCAGTTGTCAGTGCTCCTTCCAAATATGAGGGCCAGAGAGAACAATGTGTCTCTGACTGTGAGAAGCGGGGTGACCCATCCCTGGAAGCACAACCATCATTCCATGAGTCGTGACCTGAGGTAACGTCTGTGTTCATCAGTTATCAATGGCAGAGGCACATCCAGGACAGCTCCACGTGCACATCATCTACTCACTGTTACTGTTTGAGAAGCCATCACACTGTTGCTCAGCTTTCAGGAGAAAATCCCTCCAACTCTGAGCGTTTTATGCCACTTATATGCTTTCCCTCCTTTCAGACCAGAGCAAAACAGGAAAAGGTAGTGGGAGGAGATAGAGCAGGGCTCAATGCTGGGAAATCAGCCCTGGCATCTCCTGTCTGACCTTCAGTTAGACCCGTGGCAGAGCCATGGTCCCTGGGGCTGTGACTTCTCTTGGGTCCGTGCTGGCATTTCTCTATTTCTAATCCTCAGTGGAGCTCTTTTCCTCACTCAGGTCTATCCTCCCCTTGAACACCAGGAAAGCTTTCTGGACATGCAGCAGCTTTTGGCAAGGGATTCCTTAATTCAGTCCAGGTCCTCCTCCTTCTCTGGAACTTGGCCCTGGGCAAAGAAAACAGAAAGTCACAAGGAGGAGACAGCCCAGGGAAATGGAGTGCAAGGAGAGGGAGAGCAAAGCACGGCAGCGAGCTGTGCCCTGAGCAGAGCTTTCCTCACTCCTGAGCAGTCCCTGTTTCTGCCTTCACCTCGTCCCTGCTGCTCTGATGGATGTGCTCAGAAGGGACAGGCAGCTTTGCTGGAAGTGTCAGCAGGGCCCTGCTTTCTGCAGCCAGCTGTGCGGAAGAGGATATTTAGGAAACTCCCCAGTCTGACCCTTCCTGAGGCTCTCTGGCCATCAGACTCCAGCCACCAGAGGTGTTCAGTGCTGGGACCAGAGCCCCTCCACAGCAGAGGTTGCAGTGCCCCAGTGGGCCCTGCTGGACTCCCCGCACCCCCCTCCCACAGCCAGCCCCTGTGTCCTCCCTGGTTCCAGCCCAGGTTTCCCAGAGCAGTCTCAGCTGTCTGATTCCATAAAGCCATTTATTCCCAGTGCAGTGACACAGGAACAGCCTGAGCTGTTCCCCCAGCAAGGGAGCCCCTCAGTTTTATCCCCTCACAGTCTCCATGCCCAAGGCCTGGCTCTTCCTCCCGAGCCCTTGGCTCCTGCTGGGTCTCTCGGTGTCCCTTCCCCAGCTGTGCCACCACTCTTGGTGCCCTTTGTTGTGCTTTGCTGGCAGGTCACGAGCTCTTGTCTCGGGCTCCCACCTGGAGCTCAGCTTGCATCTGGCACTGCAGCTGGCCCAGCCACCTGCACCAGGTGTGTTCACAGCCAGGAGAGGGGAGAGTGGCACTGAGGTGGTTTCAGTTTTGTCTTTGTTACTCAGCTTGCTGCTCTGTTGGGAATTGCTCAGAAAGCAAAGCAATCGTCCCCAAGTTGAGTCTGGTTTGCCCGTGGTGGCAACTGGAGAGGGATGTCCCAGGCTCTAGGTCAGCTCTTCAGTCGTGATTTTTCCTCCTGTCCAGTTGAGGAGGGGGAGTGAGAGAAGTTTGGTGGGTGTCTGGCAGCCAGCCAAGGTCACTTGTCCTTTCTCCATTGATTTCTTCATAGCTGGTCAGGATAACCTCCAGGATATGAGTCTGAAGGAATGGAAAATGGTCCCTTACCTCTGTGGAAAATTGTGGCTGGGGTTGAACACCAGATTCTGCACTCTGCAAAAACAGAAGGTCCTAATTTTGACCAAGGAAGATGATGTGTGTGTCTGTGAGAATTCTCAGAGCTCCAGGGCAGACAAGATGGCTTAGGGACTAGCTGGGAGTGCAACAGAACATCTTATCAACTGCATTATCTTCTCTAGTGCTGGGCTCACCACAGAGATTTTGCCCCTCTTTTCCCTTGCATTGCAGAGTGAAACTAGAGAAAAGGATACAGGAGACAAGAAACAAGGACTGAATATCCTGGAAAGAGCTAAAGATCTGTTTGGACAGTGATGGAAGGGAAAATCAGTAAATTTAAAAACCCTGAGTAGATCAGAGGTTGGAGTAGTATGAGGGATATATGTGTCCCAAGAAAGTTCTTAAAAGCATTTTTTCAATCCTAAGGGGAAATACCATAGTGAAGCTTCCTCTTTTTAATTTTTCTTTTTCTTTTCAGATGAACCTAATGGCCACAAGAAAAAGGAGTTCATGGCAGCATTACCCTGGAGGCCAAATGGAGTCCAGAAGTAAGTGTGGACTCATGGAATCCCATGGCTCTTTTCTGTGGCCATCCTGGGGAACCCTTGGGATGGGATGTGTTATCTCTGAGAGAAGTGAGGCCACTGGAGGTCACTGCCCTGAGCACATTGCCTGCAGAACCCCTTCCAGAGCCCAGCAGAAAGCCTGGCCTTTGGGGTGGGATCAGTTTGGTCACAGGGGTGACCTCCTTTGACCAGGGACACATCCTGCTCTAGTGGGGGGTGTTGCTGAGCAGGGCTTTGAGGGTCAGGCTGTGAATGTGCCAAGGGACACTGAAGGGTCCTGGGGGGTCCCTCTCCACTCCTGGAGTGAGAGGCAGAAGAGTCTCACCCTCTCGTGGGTGGCTGTGCTCTGGTGGGACTGAGGCACCTGTGTGGTGCCTGAGTGCTGTGCCAGCTGAGGCAGCTCCCTGGCCCACGAGAGCCTCAGTGGGTCCCGAGGGTCAGGAACCCCCCAGCACTGCTGTGGGGCTCCTGCTCCACAGGAGCGGCTCCTGAGCCAGCTGTGGGATATGTTCTGCCCTAAAACCTGCTCAGTGCAGTGCTGGAGTTCCTTGGGGAAGGGTCCGTGTTAAATGTTCTGTTTTGGTTTTGATTTTATTTTCATGTGTACCTGATGTCCAGTATCTGCAGCTGCTGGCCTTCTGGCTGAGAAAGGTGTAGAAATGCTATTTGAGGAACTATGTAAGTGTGCTGGATCCCATTGCTCTTGTCTGTGGCCATCCTGGGGAACCCTTGGGATGGGATGTGTTATCCCTGAGAGAAGTGAGGCCACTGGAGGTCTCTGCCCTGAGCACGTTGCCTGCAGAACCCCTCCCAGAGCCCAGCAGAAGGCCTGGCCTTTGGGGTGGGATCAGTTTGGTCACAGGGGTGACCTCCTTTGACCAGGGACACATCCTACTCTAGTGGGGGGTGTTGCTGAGCAGGGCTTTGAGGGTCAGGCTGTGAATGTGCCAAGGGACACTGAAGGGTCCTGGGGGGTCCCTCTCCACTCCTGGAGTGAGAGGCAGAAGAGTCTCACCCTCTTGTGTGAAAATGCGGGTGTTAAAGTGTTAGGTGCTGCTGCCTGTCTCTTGTCCCCTGCAAGCCTCTCCTGTCGAAGGGCAAGCTGAGTTAATGCTCAGGCAATGCAGTCAAACCTTCACTCAACCCTTACTGCAGCTGGCTCAGCGATAGAGGCAAGAAAGGCTCTTGTGCAAGGTTTCATTCCAGCGGGGTAACACGGTTGCTGATGGACAAAGCCAGGGAAAGAGGATGAACCACGTGGAGCAGGCAGCTTATAAAGGGGATAGGGTCGGGGGCAGAGCTAAGGGGTGGGCAGAGGGGCCTGGCCACCAGGGGTAGGGGGGTGGCCACCAGGGGTACCAAGCCAGTGACAGGGAAAGGAGAAACCAGAGGAAGTTGCAACACCAAGTCCATGGGGGAGAGTGTTTTTCCCTTTGGGAGGGATGACTGTATGGTATGTCGTTAATGTTTCCAGGGCTGAGGGCTTGGGGATTGACCAAGGTGGGAGAGTTCATGGGATGCTACACTCGTGCGTGGCTGTGCTCTGGTGGGACTGAGGCACCTGTGTGGTGCCTGAGTGCTGTGCCAGCTGAGGCAGCTCCCTGGCCCATGAGAGCCTCAGTGGGTCCCGAGGGTCAGGAACCCCCCAGCACTGCTGTGGGGCTCCTGCTCCACAGGAGCGGCTCCTGAGCCAGCTGTGGGATATGTTCTGCCCTAAAACCTGCTCAGTGCAGTGCTGGAGTTCCTTGGGGAAAGGTCCTTGTTAAATATCCTGTTTTGTTTTTGATTTTATTTTCATGTGCACGTGATGTCCAGTATCTGATGATGATGACGATGATGACTATCGGCCTCAGAAAGGTGCAGAAAAGATGTTCTACAAAACCTGTAAGTGTGCTGGATCCCATTGCTCTTGTCTGTGGCCATCCTGGGAACCCTTGGGATGGGATGTGTTATCCCTGAGAGAAGTGAGGCCACTGGAGGTCTCTGCCCTGAGCATGTTGCCTGCAGAACCCCTTCCAGAGCCCAGCAGAAGGCCTGGCCTTTGGGGTTGGATCAGTTTGGTCACAGGGGTGACCTCCTTTGACCAGGGACACATCCTACTCTAGTGGGGGGTGTTGCTGAGCAGGGCTTTGAGGGTCAGGCTGTGAATGTGCCAAGGGACACTGAAGGGTCCTGGGGGGTCCCTCTCCACTCCTGGAGTGAGAGGCAGAAGAGTCTCACCCTCTCGTGGGTGGCTGTGCTCTGGTGGGACTGAGGCACCTGTGTGGTGCCTGAGTGCTGTGCCAGCTGAGGCAGCTCCCTGGCCCACGAGAGCCTCAGTGGGTCCCGAGGGTCAGGAACCCCCCAGCACTGCTGTGGGGCTCCTGCTCCACAGGAGCGGCTCCTGAGCCAGCTGTGGGATATGTTCTGCCCTAAAACCTGCTCAGTGCAGTGCTGGAGTTCCTTGGGGAAGGGTCCGTGTTAAATGTTCTGTTTTGGTTTTGATTTTATTTTCATGTGTACCTGATGTCCAGTATCTGCAGGTGCTGGCCTTCTGGCTAAGGAAGGTGTAGGAATGCTATTTGAAGCAATCAGTAAGTGTGCTGGATCCCATTGCTCTTGTCTATGGCCATCCTGGGAACCCTTGGGATGGGATGTGTTATCGCTGAGAGAAGTGAGGCCGCTGGAGGTCTCTGCCCTGAGCACATTGCCTGCAGAACCCCTCCCAGAGCCCAGCAGAAGGCTTGGCCTTTGGGGTGGGATCAGTTTGGTCACAGGGGTGACCTTCTTTGATCAGGGACACATCCTACTCTAGTGGGGGCTGTTCTTCACAATTGGTAACATTTTCAAAGACATAGCACATCCCTTCTGGGGTTTCCTTTCCTTGCTTTGAACAATTAAGGAGGAATCTCACCCTGGGCCTAGCTACAGGGACAAAAGGCAGAAGCCTTTGTGCAGGTGAGTGCCAGTCCTTGCCCACACTACCTGGATACTAAACCCTACCAAACAGGAAGGAGATCCAGAGGTCTATTGTGCATGAGGGCCCAGTGGAGTCAGATTGAGCAATCCCACCTGTCCATAAATTCCCATTTGCTAAGGCCTCCAGCCAGTCCTTTGTTATATTGCCCATCCCTATGCAGATGCCCAGGATCCCAGGGTGCAGAGATGTCCCAGCAGAGGGCTTTTCCCAGCACAACCAGGAGGAGAGGAAACCAAAAACCAACCTGTCAAAGACCCAAGAAGAGACTCTCAAGAAGAGACTTTAAAACAGAGGATTTGATCATCCTGAGGCAGGATGGGTGCTCTCCCCATCAAATGAGCAATGTCCATTCCCCACTGACACCAATCCTTTTCTACAGGAAGGGGGAATGAGGAGAAGACCATGAAAGCCCTGGAATATAAGAGAGATGAAACCTCCCAGGAGCTCAAAGAAACAGTGAAAGCCTTGCAGGATTGTCTCAAAGAATTACGGGAGTCCAGACAGCATGAACATGAGCTCTTCAGAGCATACCTGGAGAAGAACCAAGGTGAGTAGGGCCATTGCCAAGTAGACTTTTTTGTGCTGGGAATTCTCACATTGCCTGATGCTTGTCTTTGAACACTAAAGGAGGAATCTCACCCTGGCCTTAGCTACAGGGACAAAAGGCAGAAGCCTTTGTGCAGGTGAGTGCCAGTCCTTGCCCACACTACCTGGATACTAAACCCTGCCAAGCAGGAAGGAGATCCAGAGGTCTATTGTGCATGAGGGCCCAGTGGAGTCAGATTGAGCAATCCCACCTGTCCATAAATTCCCATTTGCTAAGGCCTCCAGCCAGTCCTTTGTTATATTGCCCATCCCTATGCAGATGCCCAGGATCCCAGGGTGCAGAGATGTCCCAGCAGAGGGCTTTTCCCAGCACAACCAGGAGGAGAGGAAACCAAAAACCAACCTGTCAAAGACCCAAGAAGAGACTCTCAAGAAGAGACTTTAAAACAGAGGATTTGATCATCCTGAGGCAGGATGGGTGCTCTCCCCATCAAATGAGCAATGTCCATTCCCCACTGACACCAATCCTTTTCTACAGGAAGGGGGAATGAGGAGAAGACCACAAAAGCCTCGGAATCGAAGAGAGATGAAGCCTCCCAGGAGCACATGAGAACACTGAAAGCCTTGCAGGAATGTCTCAATGAATTAGAGGAGTCCAGACAGCGTGAGCGTCAGCTCCGAGCAAGGCTGGAGAAGAAACAAGGTGAGCGGGGCCATTGCCAAGCAGACTTTTTTGTGCTGGGAGTTCTCTCCTTGCCTGATACTTGCCAAGGGTCCCCCCTTGAAGTCCTGTCCCCGTCTCTCTCCCTTTCCCCAGTGCCCTTCTCCTGCTGCCCCGCTCCTGGTCCCATGCTGGGGCACATGTGAGATCAATGTTTCCCTATTGATGACCAGCAGGGAGAGGAGCTTCCCTGATCAGAGCCTGGATGTGTCTGTGCGAGCAGAGACCCTCTGTCAGGGACATTAAACCAGAGCCTTTGGGTATCCTCGTGTCAGAGAGCTTGTCTCCCCCTCAAGAAGGAATCATTAGTCACCCAGTGGCATTGTTCTTTCTTCACAGGAAAGAAAGAGGAGGAAAATTCAATTGCTGAGTTGATTAGCCAATTCCGGCAGCTCTCACAAAGATTTGAAACTCTGGAAGAGCGTTTGCAGAAATCGCCAGAGTCATCATAGCATGAGTTTCAGCTTCTCAGAGCAGACCAGGAGAAGTAATAAGGTGAGCAGGGCTATTATTAAGCAGACTTCCATCTGTCTGAAGGCAAAAGCTGCTCTACAGGCCAACCACTGTGTGAGCCATTCTTGGGAACCCTTGGGGTGGGATGTGTTATTCCTGAGAGAGGTGAGGCCAGTGGAGGTCTCTGCCCTGAGCACTTTGCCTGCAGAACCCCTTCCAGAGCCCAGCAGAAGGCCTGGCCTTTGGGGTGGGATCAGTTTGGTCACAGGGGTGACCTTCTTTGACCAGATTTTAGTACTCCTTGGACCTCAGAGAAGTTTGAGCCAGGAGCCCTCTGTCTGGGAAACAGAATTATCACACATCCTGATTTACTGTTTCCTTTTGGAGACATGAGAGCAGAACTAGTTAAGAGAATGGAGTGGGCAGGAGGGGAGTGTGAGAGTGGTCTCAGAGCAGATAGTTGGTAACTGTTTGGATCCCCCTCCAAAGTGTCTTATTAGGGGACACATCCTGAGAAATATCAAAACCTGGAAATTACTGTGGACAATGAGCAGATTTTAAGGCACTCTGAAAATATTGCAATGGGGAAGTTTCAGTTGGCACCAGGAAATTGTCATAGAGCAGCTGGGCTGTGGTGGGGAAGGTGCATCCCTACAGCAGATGGGACCAGTGTAGCCCTGCAGCTACAGCCCCTCCCATTGTATGGCAAACCAGAGAGGTCTCCTGCAGGGAAATTCATCTCCCTTTGTCTTGCTTTGAAAGACAGATGCCACCAAGGAAGGCGGCAACCTGCCTTGGAATAAAAAATGTGACCACCTTCCTTCCAAAGTATTATAACTTCAAAATTATTGGGCTTTCAGGCAAAGATACGGGAAAAGGAATAACAGTTCTTTACTAAGATATATATGTAAAACAAGGCAAACAAGCAACAGTGGCAGCAACAACAAACAGAACCACAGACTCAGTGCCAGGCAGAAGCACAGACCCAGTGCCAGCCAGGAGCACAGACCCAGTCCCAGCCAGAAACACCCAGTCCCAGCCAGGAGCACAGACCCAGTGCCAGCCAGAAGCACAGACCCAGTGCCAGCCAGGAGCACAGACCCAGTGCCAGGCAGAGGCACAGACCCAGTGCCAGGCAGAAGCACAGACCCAGTCCCAGCCAGAAGCACAGACCCAGTGCCAGGCAGAAACACCCAGTGCCAGCCAGGAGCACAGACCCAGTGCCAGCCAGGAGCACAGACCCAGTGCCAGGCAGAGGCACAGACCCAGTGCCAGGCAGAAGCACAGACCCAGTGCCAGGCAGAGGCACAGACCCAGTGCCAGGCAGAAGCACAGACCCAGTGCCAGCCAGGAGCACAGACCCAGTGCCAGGCAGAGGCACAGACCCAGTCCCAGCCAGAAGCACAGACCCAGTCCCAGCCTTCTCCCATCTCTCAGGCACTTTCCCCTTTGGTGCAGTTCTGGTCACAGCTGAATAGGGTCTTACTACCTCCCCACTACATGGAGCTGTTGTCTACACTCAAAATATGGTCCCTGTTTTTTGATTTACTACAGCCTCTCACTCAGCTTGTAATAGTTCATGAGTACTGGGGAGCATCCATTCAACTCCACAACAAAGAGTTAGAATTGGTGCTTGCCCTCCATTTGTGTTTGAACTTGTCCCTTTCTCTTGACAAATTTTGCAACCCGCTTGCCGCTTGGGCGAGCTACAATGCCAGAGCTGGCCACAGTTTTTCACACTGACATCGTACCTAGCTTGAGTGTTTTGCCCTAGGGTGCTTTAAGCAGGGAATGTGACCAGGAATAAATCTGGCAAATGTCTCAGCAGGGACAGCTGATGGTTTTTCTTTTTGTAGGTCACAGGCAAAACCAAAAATTCTAGGATCACCTATGGACCCCGTGTTTGTTAATCTAGATAATCCTGATGACCCTGACTGGGGAGGTAGCAAACCACTGCCCCGGAGTTTGGAAAGCCTCTGGCCTATGGGAATACAAAAGAATCTAGAAAGCCCACAGGGAACTCCCTGCTAGTCTGGATTGATGTGCAGTTGCTTGTGGTTTACTTGCCACACTGACCTTGTGAGTTTCATTTAGAGTAATTTTCAGTCCTTTGATGACTTTCTAGTCACGGGGTTCTGCTACTGGTCTTTTTATTCTGCTAGCATGGGTCCATCCTCATTCTGCAGTTCATACAGCTGATTCAGTGGTCTGCAACACCTGAAAGTGACCTTCCCTTTGAGGGGTTAAAGGTTGGTCTTTCCATGGTTTAACCATTACCCAATTCCCAGGATTGACATTATAAATTTTGAAATCTAGGGTAGCAGTCTGAGGGAGCATCCCTTTTCCTCACTGTTCCTCTAAGGTTTGTGCTTTAGACAGAACATATTTCTTGACTCTGTCCTCCCCTTCCTCATAAGTGGCAACATTCTTTGGTGAAATCAGAAAGGGTAAGCCAAACATCATTTCATAGGGTGAAATCCCTAAATCTGATCTAGGTTGTGTCCTTCTTCTCAACAAGGCTAGGGGTAGGCATTTTACCTAAGACATTTCAATCATCAGTTTATTTAGAGTTCTCTTGAGAGTTTGATTCATCCTTTCAACCCACCCTGAACTTTGTGGATGCCATGGAGTGTGTAATTCCCATTCTATACCCAGAGCTTGGACCACCTGCCATAGTATTTTTGATGTGAAATGGGTTCCTCGATCTGCGTTGATGTTGTTTACTATTCCATACTGGGGAATGATGAGTTCTAGGAGAGTTTTACATATCATATTGGCAGTAGCTTTAACTGTTGGTACTGCCTCTCCCCAGTGGGTTAGATGATCTACTATTATTAGCAAAAATTATCACCGTTGTACTTGAGGGAGTTCAGTGAAATCTACTTGGATGCTTTGAAAGGGTTGTAAGGCTAATTCTTACCCTCCTCAGCCTGCTCCCCTCATGGCATTTCTGTTTACTTTTTGACATATTGCACAGTTTTTTGCTTTTCAGTTACTTGCTTAGCTATTCCAAAAATTCCCATGCAACCCCAGTTTCTCAGGAACTGATCACTCAGCGCTTGGATACCTCAAGGAGTCTTACAATGCCTGCTCTCTAACATTTTCTTGGCTAATGGTTCATTTAACTGTCTCCTGTAAGATAACACCCACTTACCTTTGTTGTCTTTTTTGCTCCTATTTCAAGGAATTTCTTTTCCTCTGTCTCACTGAATGCTGGTGTATCCTGAATTTCTTCAGTAGGAGTCAGTATCATCATCACGTTCTCTTTCCCCTGACTCGGCTGCATTTTTAGCCTCTAAGTCTGCTAAGTTGTTCCCTCTTATTTCTAAGGTGGTCCCTTTCTCATAGCCCCCAAATACCCACAACAGCAATTTCCTCTGGCAATTGTAAGGCTTCTAATACTTCTGAGGTAAGCCTTTCATGAATTAATCCTTTCCCTTTTGAATTTAGCAGTCCTCTTTCCTCCCAGATTTTCCCAAAGGTATGCACCACCCCGAAGGCGTACTCAAAGTCAGTATACACAATCCCCCTCTCTTGTGTTAATATTTTGAGCACCTCTTTCAAAGCCTACAATTCACATGCTTGAGCTGACCAGCTGGGGGATAACTTTTCTGTATTTACTAATATACTAAAATTACTAATTTACTTTACTCTATTTACTACTTTTTCTGTATTTATTAACTTCTCATCTGCTATACATATCCTGACATTCACTGCCCCTGATTCACCCTCGAGGAGCCATCGATGTATAATCATTTCCCCCTGAAGGGGTTGGGCTGTCACATCTTCTTTCACTTTGGTTTGATAGTTTATAATTTCTAAGCAACCATGCAATAGCTCTTCCACTGGTTCTCCATACAAAAACTGGGCAGGGTTGAGATGCTTATGTGTAGTTAGTTCCAGACCACCTTTGTTTATTGAAATTGCTTCATATTTTAGTACTCGAGAATCAGTGAGCCACTTCTTAGCTTTCTGGTTCAAAATATTTCTGACTGCATGTGGGGTGTGCATTTTTAATTTCCCCCCAAGTGAATTTTCTGCTTTCTTCTACTAGTAAGGCAGTGGAGGCAGCTGCCTGGATACAGGTTGGCCACCCTCTGCTAACAGGGTCTATCAATTTTGACAGATAAGCCACTGGTTTCTTGGACCCCCCCTCATTCTTGGCTAGGACTCCATGGGCTACCCTATTTTCCACACCTACAAATAGGTCAAAAGGTTTATCTAAAGCAGGAAGACTTAGATCAGGGACAATAATCAATTTTTGTTTTAAACTTTCTCTGTTTGTCTTCTTTTTCCCACGTCATTTCCTCTTTTACTGATTTTTCATAGAGGAATTTAACAGCTTGGGTGTATGCTTCTATTCATATCCTACAATAAATATCCCAACCAGCCCAAAAAGTTTTCTGATTTCCTTTTTAGTTTTTGGTTGGGGAAGTGAGGTTATTCCTGTGATCCTTTTAGGATTCAATAACCTACTCCCCTGGCTCATTATATGCCTTAAGTATTTTACTTCATTCTCCACTAATTGAAGTTTTTCTTTTGATACTCGAAGCCCTTGGTTTCCAAAAAAATTTAGTAACAATATGGTGAATTCTCAGACTTTTTCCTTGTCCTCCCCTGAGAGAAGTAAATCATCAACATGTTGGATAAGTTTTACCTCTGGTACTTTGGGGAAACATTGCAGTACTACTTCTAAGGCTTGTCCAAATAGCTCAGGGGATTCAGTGAATCCTTGGGGTAATTTGGTCTGTCTGAATTCTTGCTTTCTCCCTGTGTCGGGACCTTCCCATTCGAAAGCAAATATATCTCTGCTTTCTCCTGCTAGGGGACAGGTCCAGAAGGCATCTGTGAGGTCTGTCCCACTAAACCACCAATGCCATGGGGGAATTTTACTCAATAGTGTGTAGGGATTGGGCACCACTGGACATTGATCTCTAGTTTGTTTATTTATTTCTCTCAGGTCTTGGACAAGCCTGCATGTCCCATTTGATTTTTTTACTGGTAATATGGGGTATTTGGGGAGACATGCATGGTTCTAAAAT